CAGACACCTCATCTTAACCCCTGAAATCCATTTGCATTCTATTGATAAGAATTATTCTTCTTCCTATGTTTCATACTGCTTCAATTGACTGAGATGCCAGTGCAAAAATCAAGGTACCAAGCTTGCAAAGCCCAGTACATTCTACTCTTTTAATATCTCTCCAGGAAGACTACTTCTCCAACTCCACACTGCAAATATGAACATATTTCTCTTTCACTTAAAATCCTATGCTGTCCAGGTCAAGTCCAGATTATGTCCTGACCCTTGCTTCTGAATCTCTCTTTCTACTCCCAGCCAATTTCCCATCCTTCCTTCTCTCACATCCTGTTGGACCAGGGAAAGTGAAACAAATTTTTCAATTCCTGAAATCTTATTCTCTTTCTCCCTAAGAGCTTTTATATATGCATCTCTCTTTGGCCTTCACCTTGCCCATTTGCTGACAAGTCATGATTCTGCTCAAGCACAATTCTTTGAGGAAACTTCCACACCAACTCCTCCCCACCATTGCTAGACTGAGTTAGACACCCTTCGCTGAGTTCCCACAGCACCCTGCTTTTATCATTAACAAAGCATGCAACACTCTGGAGACTATATTCTCTGTTCACTTCTCTGTCTCCTACCACAAGATGGTGAACTGTTCCTAGTAGGGTCCGTGAATCCTGTCTGGACAGACTGGAATTAGCATTAGATCTGACATAGAGTGTTACATTGGTAGTCAATATGTATTTTAATATATAAACAAATGTATTCTTTTATGTTCATTCTAGAGAATACATTTTTTTTTTTAAAAAGAGAGAACAGAAAAAGGAATGTGTGAATGAAAACATAATGCAGCTCCTTTTCTCACAGGTGTCATGAGGCTTTGAGAATTTCACAATGGAGAATACAGAGGAATCCCATATTATACTTATCCAACAGAACCATGATCTCCCATAAATTTTTTACAGGTTTTTAAAATAGCTTTCATTTTTTATAAGCTAATATGTGCATTACAGGAAAAATAAAAACACAAGCAAAGAACAAAATCATCCAGTCACAAGCAGCTTAGTTGGATATGTGCTTCCAAGTTGTGCATATACATATACATATACAATATCCCATTTTATGTGGTTGAGATTGTAGTGTGTATCTTCTTATTCTTAAATGAAAGCTCTAGAATATAACACTAAAGGCAAAGAATTTATGGATTAATCTACTCCTCAAGTATACTCAAATCTACTCTACTCTGGCTTTCTTATTTTCTAATCTGTACATCTTTCCTCTACATTATAGATTGGCCATTCTAAGTCACACTCATAGTTTCTGCTTTTATACAATTTCAGCTTAACTCATGGTCCATGATGGTTATCTTGGTTTCTGCCTGCATGATGCACTTTTGACTTCACTGTTCACTGCTTTGTTCGCCCCACATCAAATTCCCCATAGATAACATCTTCTCTTTTCAAACAAGGCCATGCCAAAAGTTCTTGGCAAGCTTACAAATGACTGGCCACTAGAGAATTAGCTTTGAGCATCGGGGACAATGAAGGTGTCTGAGGTCATGTGGTCTGCACACAGTTTGCTCTTCAGCAAACAGAAAACTCTCAACTGCATGGTGCGTGTGGAAGAAGTGTTTAAAAGAACCTGTGGGGGTGTTTTGGGGGAAAGGGAAAGATTGTAGGCATTTCTAAGCACACTTGTTAAAGATAGATTTGCTAACCACTTTGGGTTTCATTTTTCAATCAGTAAGCACCATTCTTACCCCCTATGATTTTAAAATACTACTTGTTAGTATTATATGAGGAAAAGAAATCCCTAGAATATCACATGTGACAAAATACCACTTTGCAGTGGGGCTCCTAAGGCATAATAAAATCATAGATCATTGAAAGAGTGATCTCATAGAAGTTAGACATACTACCTTCCAGCGACTTCCTCGATGCTTTTTTTTTTAATCAACAGCAAGGAAAATACATTTTATCTGTTTGTCTTGTTTTCTTAGTGTAAACAGGTACTGACTGACCTAATGCCTTTTCATTTTTCCCTTAAACATTTCTTTTCTTGCTGCCTTATGAAGCACATTACTACACAACAGTTTACTATATGCTAACTCCTTATTTAGTTTATACAATATATGGTAACCTAGATAATACCTTAGCTTAACAATAAAGGGACTCTCTGTAATCTATATAATCTATATTCCTAACTAAATCCAAGCTCTATTCTCCAATAAGGTTTCATGGAGGAATCCTCTAAGATGCATTTAATACTATTACCTCATTCATATTGTAACTGATAAACTTTGGATCCCAAGCTACCTCTCTGTTGTAAATATAACATAGCCCTGAGAAGACTGAGAGATGATTACAAGAGATGTAGAGACAGATGCAAGCTGATCAGAGGGTCTGCAATGACACTTCATCTCATAAATTCTCCATTCTAGTTCATGACTTGGATTATAAATTATAGTTTTCTCTATCCTTAGTAAAGGCATATAGAATCCAAAACCATCTTTCAGAATCTCCCTCTTGAATTTGTTTCTTCTGATATTCTAGACACATTCACCCAATTTCCTTTTAAGGAAAATAAAATATTGAATTTTCTATTCCAAATTATTTAGGATATATCAATTATAAATACTTGCTATTAAATATCATTTCATGTCAAAATTCAGTTTGAAGACTTCTTTCTAATGGTAATGAAAATATGATAATTTTTTCTCAAGCTGCTATTTAATCTAAAACTAATTAAATCTGTGACATCTTGTCAGAAATTAGCCAGAAGCTTAATGGGGCATGGGGGGAGAAGAGTTAGGGTTTCTGAGCATTTTTTACCATTTGCTTTTACCAGGTCTTTAAATTCCCATAGAAAGAACAGGGATCTTATACTCAGATGACTGCAGTCTGATCATAACTGCATGGCATATACTTAATATATGTCACAAAATTTTTGTAAGTTCAGAATGCCAATGCTTAGGGAAGGATTAAAAACAGACTATGTCTGATACCAAGCTTTGCAGAGTCGCATGAATAATCCATTTCTCAGGGTTCCCTTAACTTTGCAGAGTCTTTTGTAGCATTAAAGCTGAGCAAATATTTTGCAAATGAATCTGGCCCTAAGTGATCCAGTGTTAAATTCAGATCATTAATGGAGGAGAAGCTGCTTCTCATCTCAAGAGAAAAAGCTTTGCATCACCAAGTTCTTTAAATATTGACCTGGAGAAAAGCAGTCTGATCCTGAAGTAAGCACCCAGAATTCCCAATGGAGCTACAGAACACTCTGTCAAACCTCTGTCAAGCCTGTCTTAAGCTATTCCAGTTAAGAATCTATCCAATGAGAGAAAATATTTGCATATCCACATCTGATAAAGGGTTAATATCCACAATATATATGGAACTCAAACAACTCAATAGCAAGAAAACAATTAACCTGATTTAAAACAAATGGGCAAAAGACCTGAACATACATGTCTTCAAAAGAAGACAGGTAGCCAATAGGTTTATGAAAAAAATATCCAATATCACTCATCACCTGGGAAATGCAAATTAAAAACCAGAATGAGATATCACCTCCCACCTGAAAGAATGACTCTGATTAGAAAGGGAAAAGATAACAAGAGTTGGTGAGGATGTGGGCAAAAGGGAAACTTGGAATACTGTTCATGAGAATATAAATTACTATAGCCATTAAGGCAAACAGTGTGGAGGTTTCACAATAAATTAAAAATGGAACTGCTACATGATTTAGCAAATCTGCTACTGGGTGTTTATCCAAAGGAAATGACATTAATATGTTCAAAAGGTATCTGCAATCCCATGTTCATTGAACATTGTTCATAATAGCCAAGATACCTAATCAATGTAGGTATACATTGATGGATGAACGGACAATGAAAATGTAGTATGTGTGTGTATGATTATGAATATAATATACATATTCTATATATTACATTTTCTCTCTCTCTCATACACACATACACACACACACAGAGAGCAATGTTATTTGGCCATAAATAGAAGAAAATCTTGTCATTTGAGATAATGGGAATGAACCCAGAAGACTTTATGTTAAGTGAAATCAGCCAGGTGGAGAAAGAGAAATATTGCCTTCTCTCATGTGGAATCTAAAAAAGTTGATCTCATAGAAATAGAGAACAGAATAGTGCTTAACAGGGGCTGGGTTGGTTGAAAGGAGATGGTGGAGATATTGGTCAAGTGATACAAAATTTCAGCCAAATAAGAGGGATAAATTCAAGAGATCATTGTACAACATGGTGACTATATATTCTTAGGGCATGGATATAAATTATTGTAACCACAAAATTCTAACTATGTGAGAGAAGTTGTATGTTAGTTACCTACCTTTAGTCATTCCATAATACATACATACTTCAAGGCATCATGTTGTACATAGAAAATACATACAGTCTTATCTGTTGATCAAAAAACAAAAAGACTATCCTTCTCTTAAAGAGATGTAAAGAATGTCTCCATTACTACCCTCAGCCATGTTGACCAGCAAAATAAACACTCATTTCGGTAGGAAATTCTTCCTTATAGTACTACTTAATTCTTAGTAGAACTGATGAGTATTTCCTTTTCATGTATCCTTTGTAAGACACAAACAACTGTTCACTATTTATATAAATGATTTTAATCTCCTTTCAACCATGTTTCTTCTGGAATAAAATACTCGCAGCTGCTGTCATCACAGGTTACTGGAATCATGGAAAACTGCTCAAAATGTCAGTAGGATGAAATTCCTCCTTCCCCACAGAAGTCTCAAAATTTCACAGATGAAAACAGTGATCCCCAGAAAACCCAAAGTGCCTTTGATGAATAAGGTCAAATTGTAACCAATCACATCTGCCAAGTAATAGCTCTAGTATACTGCTGGTCTCAAATACTGATTACTGGTGAGATAATACATGATGACTTGGAACTTTAAGGAATAAAGAAAACTAAGTGAAGGAGACCCTAAGGAGTTAGAAATGCATCATGTCAACCAGTCTTGCTAGAGGTTTATCAATTTTGTTGATCTACTCCAAGAACCAGCTTTTGGTTTTGTTATTTTTTTCTCTATTTTTTTTTTTTTTGTTTTCAATTTTACTGATTTCTACTCTAGCTTATTTTTTCTTCTGATTACTTTGTGTTTTGGGGTTCTTGCTCTTTAAGTTCTTAAAGTGGATATAGATTACTGACTTGAGGAGTTGATTTATTACATAGTATGTTTTCTCTAAGTATTTCTTTGTAAGGATTACACAAATTTGATATGTTATATTTTCATTTTTGTTAGTTCAAAATCATTTATTTTCTTTGATACATCTTCTTTGACCATAGAGTATTTAGAAGTGCGTTGTTGAATTTGAAACTGTGTTTAGAAACTTTTCCCTGGCATTTTATGTCACTAATTCACAATTTAATACCATTATGAATGAAGAACAGACTTTGTGTGATTTCAACTCTATGAAACTTGTTTTATGAATTAGAATGATGTCTACTGATGAACGTTCCATGTGCAATTAAAAAGAATGTGTATTTTATTATTTGGGAACAGAATGTTCAAAAATGTCAATTATATTCACTTGGTTGATTTTTTTCTTCAGTTCTTCTCCATCGTAAAAATTTTATGTTTTCTAGGTCTGTCAAATCATCAGAGAATACTACTGAATATTTCAATTCCAATTATGAATACAACTTTCTTCTTTCAGTTCTGTCAGCTTTTATATATCTGAAGCTCTGTTATAGATCTACTTAATATTGTTATGTCTTCTAAGTAAATTGTTCCTTTAACATTGCTTATCTTCTTTATTCTAAAAACTACTTATTCTAATACAGATGTAGCAACCCAAATTTTCTTTTGCTTAATAAACACATCATTATTTCAAAGTGAGTTTCTTGTGCCTAGCAGATTGTTGTATTAGATATATTCGCCTGATGTTTGACAGTCTCTCAATTGCTGTTTTAGACCATTTACATTTAATGTAATCATTAATATGTTTAGGTTTAATTTGTCATTCCATTATTTGCTTCTATTCTTTCTGATTTTTGTTCCTCTGTTTTGATTTTTCTGAGACACTCTGTATTAATGGATGCTGTTTTAGTATTACATTTAAATTCACTTATTGTGTTTTTGAATGTATCTCTGTATACATATAAAACATATTTGCTAGTTGCTCCAGGGGGTGCTTAATTTTCATATTATATTTAGAATTAAAATCCTTTCTTTTCAGGGAATGTAGAAATCTTCCCTATCATCAAACATGTAGGTTCCTTTCTCATTCCTCCATTATCTATAATGGACATATGAATTACATCCCCATGTTCCATGAAACTTGCATCAGATAATTCCATGATTTTTATTTTTGAATGTCATGAATTTTAAAGTACTAAAAAGAGGAATAATACTAATTGTAATTTTTCAGATAGTTACCATTTCTGTTTTTCTATCATGGAACTTGTTCTTTGGTTTAGTTCCTTATGTCAGAAGAATTTCTTCAACAATTCTTTTAGAACAGTCTCAGGTTTGTTTTGTTTTGTTTTAAATCTGAGAACATCTTTATTTTGCCTTAATTCCTGAAGGAGATTTTTGTTGGATGTAATATTTTGCTTGACAGTTGTTATTTTTCAGTACTTTGAAAATGTTGCTCCACTTCTTTTTGGCCTGTGTGGGATATGACAAAAAATTTTCGGTTATTTAAATAGTTTATACTTTGCAAGAAATGTATCATTTTTCCAAGCTCCCTTTCAATATTTCTTTTGTCTTTTCTTTTCAGTAAGTCTATTATGGTGTTTCTGGGCATGAATTTCTCCATTTTTATTTTTTTGGGGGTTTGTTGATCTTGCATCTCTACGTTTATGTAACTTGGCAAATTTGGGAAGTTTTTAGTTCTTGTTTCCCCAAATATAAGGATAAGTGTGTGTGTGTGTGTGTGTGTGTGTGCGCGCGCGCGCGCGCGTGCACGCGTGCATGCGTGCACGTGCACTTTTCTACTATCCTGAATCTTCAAAGACATGGACGTTAAACTTTTCTATATTGTCATACAGGTTCCTGAAGCCATGCTCATTTCTTCAAATCATGCTTTAATGTGTTGTTCATATGGAATAACTTCTATATGCTGATTGCTGGTATATGGATACAAGATGAACCCCTGAAAATCTCATGAGGCAATGCAAGAATATTTACAGATAAAATAATTAGATTATGAGAGCTATGATAAAATCAATGGATTAATTTATTTGAAGAATTAATAATTTCAATGTATTACTGGGTAGTAACTATAGGCATGTGGGGTATGGTTGAAGAAAGTAGGTCACTAGGGGGATGCCATTGGAAATTATATTTTGTTTTTGACTCCTAGCACATATTCATTCTCTCTCTCTCTCTTTCTCTCTCTCTCTTTTTCTCTCTCTCTCTGTCTCTCTCCACCCCCACTTCCTGGTTGCCATAAACTGAGAAGCATTTGTCAACTATGCCCTTCTACCATGATGTTCTGCCTCATTTCAAGCCCAGAACAATGGAATTGACCAACCATGGACGGAGCCTCTGAAATTGTAAGTAAAACATAAACTTTTCCTCCTCTGAGTTGTTCTTTTTTGTTAGGTATTTTGTCCTGGTTTAAAAAAAACAAAAAAACCTGACCAATACTGAGACTCCATTTATAAATTTACATATCCTGTCATTTTCATTCCATGGAGTCTTCCAATGGAATTTTTATTTTAGTTATTATACATTTTACTTCTAATATTACCATGATTCAGCATATCTTTTATTTCTTTGTTGAGAAATTTTTCTTTTTGAGTCATTTCAAGAGATTTATACCTACTCACTGGAACTGTTTCATAGTAGCTACTTTAACATCACTATTAGAGTTTTCCAAAATATGTCACCCCAGTGTTGATTAATGTTGTGTTTTTTATATGTTTATATTTGTGTATTCATATGCTGAATACTTTGGGGTTATATCCTAGATATTTTGAATGATGATTTGTAACAAAACTGTAAGTCTTGTTTCTGTTTTGTTGTTGTTTTCAAACCAGGTCACTAATCCAGGAAAGTTTTGTTCCTAAGTTCTAACCAGCTTTCTGGGTTTTGTTGGTGTCATTTTGTTTTGCTATTTTCTTCTTTAACATCAGTTCTATTTTGAAAGTCTTGTTATACTATGTACCCAATAATCAGTATGAACCTGAGTGGTGATATATCAAAGTTTCTTTCAAAAAGTATTAAGAATGCTATCCATGATATATTCTTATACAATTTGGGAGTGAACACAGACATTCATAAAAAAAATAAAATAAAATAAAAAAAGCTTTATGTGGTTGGTTTCCTAAAGTTCTCTTTCTTTTCAATATACCTAGTGATTTTTTTTCTTTTTCCTTATTATGTAAAACTTCTCTTTTGAATTCTCTAGACAGAAAGCTAAGGCTTCATTCAGTCTTCTTTGCTGTACACTCCATGACTACAGCCATGTTTGAGGCCAAACACGAAGACAGAGAGAGGGAAAAGAAAAAGAAAATAGTCCTTTTCTTTTGGGACCAAGTTTCTCTTCTTGAGAGATTTAGGCACCTGAGAGCTCTCTGCTGCCATTGCTGTCAATGCCAGGAGACCCTCTTTCCACTCTTTGAGACTCAGCCATAGGGCTTCTCCTAGAAGCATTGTTCACTTCAGAGTTTCCTATCAAGGCCACGTACCTCCAAAGGAAAAACATGGTAAGCTCAGGATTGCTTTTGCTTTATTTTCAGTTCTGATTTTCCCTCGATTCATCTGTTACTATTTACATTTTAGAGGCTTTAGAAACTTAATTCATACATTTTGGTCTAAGTTTGATAGTCATAATAAGTATAAGAGACAGATTTCAGTTGTTTATCTTTCCCAAAATTGGTCCTCAACAAAGAGTCTTGAATAGGGTTATACCATAATAAAAATGATTAGAAGAAATAATGTAGCTGTTCATTAGTTGTGTTTGTGGAGAAAGAGAAGGAGAAAGACAAATACATTATGCAAAACCTGATTTTAACTTTCACTTATCAACTTCAGTCATTGCAAGCTTTATTTATCCTTTTCCTATAAATATAATTACAAATTGGATGATCAGTTGCTAAATAGCTATGTTGTCCATATGATAAGATTATTTCTTAGCACTGGGAAGTTAATTTAGGATGGTACATATTGACAGATACTAGGAATTTTGCAACAAAATCATTCATGTGGATATAGAAATAATTTAAGAAAGACAGAAGACAAAATGGGATTCACTTTTTAATGTTCCTGTATTTCACCAAGAAAATAAAATCTCCGCCTACATCCTCTATGTCCAAGCGTTTTCTAAATAAAGCCTAGCACTAATAAAGATTTAGAAACACTTTCAGTGCTGAAATAATCCATGCCTAAATAAATCTCTTTATACTTAGGTCTAAAATTTATCATTTAGTACAAACAACAAGAGAAACAGCAGGTACCCTATACATAGCAAATCCTATCTTTCAATCACATAGATAATCACATGTGGGGGCTTTCCTGAATTATAAATTGACAATATTTATCTTTTTAGAACACAATGATGCATTTTGAATTTCACTAAAGAATTAATCTATGACTTGGGTAGCGCTATTTATAAGAATTTAAATTTTAAAAAAATATAGGTCAAGAGCTGCTCAGGTAATAAACTAAGGATCTGGAACTTCTAAAGTCATTTGCAGTTAGCTATGGCTAGTTCTTAGAATTTATTAACAAATAAGAATAATGATAAGGATTTTTAAAAAACGTTATTTTCCTCTAAAAACATACTCTGTTACTCAATGATGAACTCTGGTCTTTGTCCAGGTGCTAGGTACTGGGATAAAATAATATCTAGAAAGAGTCTGATTTTCACCTGAGATGAGAAAATTCATGTGAGGATCAGTGCCTGGTCCATAGAAGTGTTCAATAACATTTGCTAAATTCAATCACTTTCTAAAAAGTCTAAGTTTGGCACAAACCCTTATATCCATCATGTGCCTCCCTCTCCTACCTCATCACAAACTCTGAAAATAACAGAAACCATTCACATTTACTATGAGAATTATTCTTAAAAAATAAAACTTCTGTATATCCATTTTTTCAGTTCTCTGGGGGTGGTTGTGTGCCGAAGCATCACCCAGTAAGGTTTTCATTGTTTCCTTCTCTATTGGCCCCATGAAATAAAACAAATCTAATGATTCAAGTCAAGTCATTTGAGAACAATGCTAGGAGGACAGTCACAGGCTAAGTTATCCAAAAGGAGAAAACTAGAAATCTATTGAATGCATACCATTTTGTGAAAAAATAAACTAGTTATTTATATACAGTATATGATTACTCCTCAGAGCAAGCCTGTAGGTTGCTATTAATATAATGTCTCAAATAAGGATACTGAGCCTTGAATGAGATAACACCTAGTAAATGAAGCCCTAGAACATGAATAGGAAATTAATGAGGAAGCAAACTGTTTCTTTTTAGTGTTGATAGCAGCAATTATAACACAAAGGCAAAACAAACATCCTCCAACTTGGCGATGCTTTGTGAATACAACTCAACAGTCCCAGCCTACTTCCTTAATCAATGTTCAATGAAATTACATATTTCTAGATGCAAATTCTCTTAAACTGATTCTTAGAGGATACAGATCATTTTTGTGATGCTGCCCAGAAAGGGAAAAACACCTACTCAGAGAGAAGCTTCCAGTGAAAGATTCCTCCTGCATGCAAACGAAATTAATCTGAACAACAGGTGGGGCTAGTTTCCTTTACAATGGTCCATAGCAGGATGCAGGTTCTCTCTGCAGGCCCAGCTGCTCAGTGAGACCACAAGTCTTTACAGCCCTTGCCTTAGTGACAGCAATCCGAGTTCCTAAATTTCATATCCTTCCAAAGTCCATACTGAATAGGAATTTCAAAACTTGGGATCAGATTTTTAAAACAAAAACTACAGGGATAATTAATGATGATGTAAACATTTTCTGAACATTGTTATTTTCTTTTAATTATATTGAAAAGCAAAATGAAATGACATGAGAAACAACAAACACACTGTTTTCAGTCATCACGGTGTAAGTTCTTATCACTTGTCTGCTCAGTTCTGCTTCCAGCAGTGTTTGCAATATAAACCCAAATCAGGCTTGCTCATTTAACTATGAAGAAAGTTGCTGCTTTATTTTAAATGAAAGCTCTACAACAGAAATTCCAGAGACTGTCTTGCCACCCTTACACATGTGGTTGCAAAAATCAGAAAGGGGGAAATCAACAGTGTTTGAGAGACAGCTGCTTGGAGCAGAGGGTAGGAAATACTCCTCACAATCTATGAGTTATTTGCAGCAACAAAGCACCAAGGTTAGGAGTTACTGTGGAAGGACCATGCAGCTGCCGCCCTCATCATCCTAGGAGAGATTTTAGTTACATGGTCACAAAAATTAAAGAATTGGGAAAGGCCACCTGCCTGTTTGTGAAAAGAGCCAGGCCTGAAGGCTGGCCTGGGCAGGGCTGGGGTGATTGGACAGTAGCTATGGTCATAGAAAGTTTACAATAAAAAGATGTTGGCACCAGAAACTGGTGCTGTTAACCCAGGCCCGACCAGACCAAGGCATCATTTCTCCAATGAGATGGCTGCCAACACTCAGGGAATAGTCTAGGAGGCAGGAAACTGTTATG